CTAAATGTTTTACTGAAATTTCTTAAATTTGTACTATTACAAAAAATGTTAAAGTGTAGAAGGCCAAAACGGTGGTAAGAAAGCGAATCGACCGAAAGAAAGAAGAGCCCGCAACAACAATCAGATGGCGCGCATAGTTTTCTTATTTTCCCCTCTCCGTTTGCGTTTTGTTTTTGTTTAAGCGATAACTAAATAAAGTTTAAAGGCCCCTTCTCCTTTCCCTAAAATGAATGCATTTATAAGCCCCAAGTCAACTCCTTGGCGATCCTTTCCGCTCTTCTTTTCTCTGATTTTTGGGCTCCATTTTTTGTCAACTTTTGTCGATTTTTAACCCTCTTAAGTGCTTAACAAGTCCCAAATTAAAAACGCTGTCGAGTCTCCCGAGATTATAACCAGATGAAAAAGGGCAACCAGTTGAAAATGAACAAAAAAATGGTTACAAATGATCAAATGGTCAATGGCAATATTTAATTGTTACTCTTACCTCTGGAAATAAAAATGAAAATTCTTGGACTTAATTAAAAAAAAGGGAAAAAAGGGAAAAATTGCTTGTGTGGCAGTCAAAGACATCAAACCTCAGAAGGATTTCGGGTTATATTTATTTCTGCTACTTTTCGTTTCATTTTCGGTAAACTCCCCAAAGGTTGTGAAAACACCAAGCGGAAAGTTTGCGACGGCAAAAATACGTCAAATATGCAAAACAATCAAATGGGAGGAAAACTTTTTGGCTAAAAAAAGGGCACCCACTTCAATTTCCCCCTGTACCCCCTCCTAACCCACTGTTTATTTAGCACAAAGTCATCGAATGAGTTGGCAGATTCACACCAGAATAGCACAGAGAATAAAGTGACATCAACCAGCGGTACTTGTCTCTTTTTTTTACAAAATGCCACACACGAACACTCCTCAGCTGGGTGAAAAATTTATCAACTTACGATCATAAATAATAATAATTTTCCAGCTTTTGTTGCGGCGGCGCGCGTTTGTCTGTAATTTCCGCAATTAAAAAAACATTTACTCGCATTTGATGTGAGCTTTTTTTTTCGCCCAGTGGCTTGTACTTGTTTACGTTTCGTTTTGTTTGCTGCTAAATGCATTTTTGTATTTGTTGCATGACGAGCGGCTTTTTGGCCAAGACAACTGCGGCTGCTGCGGCGACCACCCAACTGCAGTTGCGAATGGATATAGCCTTAACCTGGGGCCAAGTCATCTATTTTGGAGGTTATCCGCAGCAATGTATATTAAATTCGACTATAGAAAAGCATAAAGGCGATTGGCGGGAAAATGCGTTGAAATTTGAAAAACATTTATTTCTTAATTCAAGAAGAGTAAAGAGAAAATCAACAACATATACTTTTTTTAGTTTTATTTGAGTAACAGATTATTTAAAATAGTTGTGAAGCTTTGGCGGTCTTATAACCTATTGAGAATAACGCCAAATAAGCCAGATTCTTGTACTATAGTAAACTATAGTAACTACACATAATTATTAATAAACGACAGTCCCAAAATCGCATTGTTTTTTAGTTCTCCCCTTTAGAAATTCTTTTCGCATAGTCTCTACTTCCTCGGACGATGCTGGCCATCGTTTTAGTTCCGCTCGACGTGCCTCGTGTGTGATGAAAAAGCAATCTGTGCCAATATAATAATTAATTGTGGGCATTATAAAATAGAATTTTTTTCGAGCTATTAAATAATGCTTTTTAATTTTTTCCTGCTTCAACGAATTCCATAAAATGTTGTTGGCAATTATTTTAATGATTTCCTTTAAACGTTAACCGGCACACATACACCAATAGCACTAATGTAATTGTGTGTGCGGGAAGGGGGGAGGGGATGGGGATGGGGCTGAGCTAGGGGAAGGGGTAGGGGAAGAAAATGAAATAAAATCCATTATGGAGCCGGAGCAGTGTAATAAACGAGTAAAATGGTTAAAATGGTGGCCTAATCGCAATTTAATTACAATACGCTTTCATATCAAAAAGCATTAATGCCCCCGGTCCACTCGGTCCGTCAGTCAACCACTCAGCCACTTTGGGTGTATCGCCGAAAGGGGGCGGGGGAAGTGGCAGCAGGGCGGGGGCGTGGCAGGGGAGCGGAGAACCTCAGAGGTCTTGCCTTTGGTACTTCACATGTATCGCTACTCTTTTTCATATTAATTGTTTCACCTTTATTATATTTCTGTTGTTGATACGTCTACCTCGTGCTTCATCTTCCCCTGCTCTTCACTTCACTTCACTTCACTTCTTTTCTTCAAAGCGCCATTAATGCGTTTATAATAATTTTTCAGCGCTCAATTCGAAGCTCCTGTCCAGAAAAGGGCGCCCCAACTGATCCACGCTCGCTTCAAAAATATCTAAGAAAACAAGTATTTTTTCTTTGTTTTTTTACTTTTTATGCGTACATATGTATGTTATTTTTTTTTCTTGAGTGATGGAAACATGAAATGTGCAAAGGCATCATTAAAAACAAATTTCTGAGAGCGCCCGTTCTCAAATTGCCAATGCACGCCCATTTAGCCATTTACTTTAACCCCTCGAAAACTTCGCCCCCCCACCCAAACTCTATTTTTCAAGACAGATCTCGGTCTTGTGTGCATAACTTGTAGGTGTTTTCATCAATTAAAATAATTATTTATTTGCAATGCATGAGGGGCAGGCATACAGCTTTGTGTTGTTAATTATTAGCGAAAGCTTCTGTTACGAGCAAGGGGAGTGTAAATGCAAATGGAAATGGAAATGAGCTGAAAGTGTACCGGAGGAAGAACAAGATAGTGATCAGATGGGAACTACAGGAGTGCTTATGGGTAGACAGAAATAAATGTTATATTTGATTTGAAAAATGAGTGATAATGACTTTTTAGCATGATTATTTTGATGATTTCAATTAGACTAATTTTAGTTTAATCAAATTAATTGGGTTGCAGTTAGGGCTAGAACGCATTCCCCAATATTTAAACAAAACCTGCCAGATATGCAAATTGAGAATTATTTTTTATTGGCACGCAGCTCTCAAATCGTACTCCCTGGCACCTCTCTCTTTTTGTTATCCATCATCGCGGGCGAAAGTCCATCCCATTTATTCCGCTCTTAATCCGCTCCTAATACTCAACTCTTTGGACTTCCCCCCGTGGATTCTTCGCAGACTGCAGAAGGATGGGTCCGGATGCCAAAGGGGGATGACCACGCACGCTTTTTGCCACAAATCTTTCAAGATTTTTTGCCGGCGCAGCGACTCGTCTAACTGATGATGATTAAATGCGAACGCCTCGGGTTATAGACATGGCATCAGCCGTGTCATTTAAAAGAAGGTAGCTGCTCTGACCACCGCTGTGCTGCCCCCCCCTCTCTATATAGCCACCCCCTCCGCCTGTTCTATCCGTTTTGGATTCGCGCGCCTTAATGGATGCCGCACAAAATACAAAAAAATACTACGTGAAAAAATACATAAAAGAGCTTATGATGTAATGACCTCGAGCCAGAGATGGAAGACACAAGAAATACATAAAATATTAAAAAGAAAAAAATTGGACGAGCGAGTTGAGCAAGACAAATGCTGAAGATGTTATTAAAAAATAGTTAAGACTGCCCACCTTGGGGGACGGGTTATGGGTGAGGATGGGGATGGGGAAGGGGATGGGGGGACTTCCACTGATTGCCGCTTGGCGTGGTTGGTCAAAAGCCACCGCAATGCCAATGCTGCTGTGGCCGCCTTCCAATTTCCGGCCGGACATTTTCCAAACCCTAAAAAATACAGTATAAATACCCTCAAGAAGTGGCCGGGAAAACTCCACCCGAAAATGGCTTCTCACGCTAGCAACCCATTTCAATTACCTGCCTTCGCCATTGACAATTATAATATTTGCTGCTGCGTATTATATTTGACATATTTTTTCCCGACATTTTCACTGTGCTCTTTTTTTTGTCATTACCGAAATTATAATTATAGTAAGTGTCATTAGGCGCCGAACTCATTTGGTTGGTTGCTTTCGAAATGGAGCGGTTTCGAGGGGGGAGTCAGCCCTCGTAATTATTCCGAATTATTTTACAGTTATGCTACCGTTCAAGGTGGAGGAATTCGAGGGGCTGCAGCGGTGCTCGAAGGTGAAACTGCACTTGCCTGAATCACAGGCATGATACCTCTCCGCTTTACGGACAAAGATACGGACGCACGGACAAACGGACAGATGAACGGACAGACCGCATTGGGGCATAATTAGTTACCTTGTCTGCTCGCCGCTTGATGTCCATGAAATCTCCGCCGAGTTTAATCCACAAGTGAATTTAATTTTTGTATACAACAACGAAAGTTGAATGCTCTTACTTAAAATGAAGTGCATACAAATATAATGAACAGAAAAACGTACAAAGGGTTATATATTCTTGTAATGGCAATAATGGGTCTATGTTAATATATTTATTATGTTTTGTTTATTATTAGAAGACATGTTTAAAATTAAACATTTTAATAGTATTTTTCGTAACATATTTCCGTAAAATATATAAGAGTACCATAAAGATCATTACATTTGGTCCCCTCTCTAAGTCTTAATACCCATGAGAAGGGTATGCTTTGAAAACTAAACCCAGAGTTCCTATCGGGATGGCCGACAGAGAGGAGGGAGACCCCTTTAGCCGCTGCCCCTCGTCACAGACCTGTTGTGGGCTCGGTTTTTTCTCCTTTTTTTTGACAAGTACAAATATCCGAATTCGGTAAGGTTGTCTTTTAATCAGCCTCAGTTTCAGAGTCTCAGCGCCTTGCTTCATGTGGTTTTGAGTTCCCTCATACCCCGATCCCTCATCCGATTCTGCGGGAGAGAAAGAAGAAAAAGATACAGAACAACGAATATACATATATATATTTAATTCCAGCTCTTGGTGTTGTATGCATTGTAGTGGACCTGTAGATATAGTAGAAGTTGTTGTTGTTGATTTGGTGGTCGGTCAAGCGTTGCATTGATTTTAATTGTGGATATTGTTTTATCTCTTTGGCACCAACAGAACGCAAACGCGGAAGGCAGACGTACACCCGGTACCAGACCCTGGAGCTGGAGAAGGAGTTCCACTTCAATCGCTACTTGACCCGTCGGCGGAGGATCGAGATCGCCCACGCCTTGTGTCTCACGGAGCGCCAGATAAAGATATGGTTCCAGAATCGGCGCATGAAGTGGAAGAAGGAGAACAAGACGAAGGGCGAGCCGGGATCCGGAGGGGAGGGCGACGAGATAACGCCACCCAACAGTCCGCAGTAGATCCAGCTAAAACCGGGTCTCAGCAGTTAAATGAAATTTCTATCTAAATACAATTTACGTTAGTTCCGAGAGCGCAAATGAATTTACTTCGATCCCAGAGGACTATCTATTACCTATCCAATCCGTTGAACTTCGCGTGAACTAAACTAAACAAAGAGCAGAGCTGAGAACTCTACCTACAACTTAGTTAATTGTTATTATTTTCTACTTATTATTTAATTGTACACGAATGGCAAGTGGAGAAAGCGAAATAAGATAAACGTAAAGGTAACGATTACGATAAAGATACAAGTAAAGCGTAAAACTCAAACAAAACCAACTCATGTGACCTCAGATCTAAATAAGCTATATTTAACTATAATGCATATATATACACATAAATATATGGATAACTATACATGATACCAAGTAAAGCTAAAGGCAAGGAGTTATATATAAATAAATATATATGAAGCATATATACTATATACACGATAACATTAGTTCTACGCGTCATAAGTACTGTACGATTAACTTATATATACACCCCAGCATAAACCCTAAACCCTAAACCTAAAACATAAACATTAAAGTAAATCAATGTTTGTAGCAATCCTAGCGCAAAAGTATAAAATAAAAACCAATAAAAATCTTAAAAAAACCAAATGGCGTCAAAATCCATTGAATGTTGGTTCAAGAAACCCATAAATATTTCATAATACAGAACATGATAATAGAAAACTTTGCCCTAAGTGAATGTCGCAAATTTAGACAAAGAAATACCAAAACCACGGAATAACGTTGCTTAAAGTAAACAAAACGTTTTACACATACAATGAACAAATAAAACTATTAACTGGCAGAAGCTTAACTATAAATAGAAAGGAATCGCAAACTATTGGCAAAACTTCAAAATAATAGATGTAAAAATTCGATGGCAAATTAAACGCTATAAAACTCAGAAATGCAAATTTAAGCTAAACCAATTTGAGAGTTCCTCAATTTTTGGTTGAAGGAAACATTGTTTCTGTATTTCCTTTTATTTTTAATTTCTTGTGCAATTTTTAGTTCTTGCAAAAAAAGATTCGAATTAGGTCGAAAAGGATATAAAGTATACCGAAATGCATAAAAATATGAATTGGCAAGTGAAGACGAAAAATATAAATTGTTAACAGAGGAACACAAAGAATATGTATAAATAATGAATTCAAACAAAAACCCTGTAAAGTAGTAAAATGAAATGAAAGCATTATTATACGCGGATGTAGAAAATCCCCTTTTGAAAGCAGAACCGAACGATTTCTATATGAATATTCGCCTAACAATTATATAAATGTATGTACGTAACTCAACTCAATTTCCACGCCATCTGTGGAAATCCATATACCAAAGTCAAAGGAACGAAGGAGAAAGAAAAAGAAGGATGGAAGGGAAAAACTATACAGCATCATATGTTTATATGTAGATATATATAATTAAACAAGCCTAATATAAAACATGTAACTTTGTAGAGCGTTTCGTTTTGTAAATTCCCCAGAATCCCCTTCCCTTTCCCAGCCGATTCCCAATCCCAGGTGAAAGGATTTGTGATTTGCAATAGAAGAAGAAAATAGTCAAAAGAATTGGAAAAATCTTTACAAAGTATTGGCTAAAACAACCTTGAGAGCGAAATTCAACTCAATCCAGATACGTAACTTTCGGCCTCATTCTGTAAGAAACTAATTATTTAAGTTTCAATTCAGAAAACTAAAAAAAAATTGGAAAAGAACATAAATATAGAATGTAGAAATTCACAAGAAACAAAATTCGAAAGCGTTGATATAAATATATATATTTGAAGCAAAACAAAAACATTAAATACACTCAAACATTTGTGCGAAATTGAAACGAAATGTGGAAGCTAAACAATTTGTTGTAAATAAAATTTAAACTTTAGTGTAAACAAGATGGTGAAGAATGCAGTGGAAGTGCTGCAAAAGGCAAAGCGAAAAGCATAAAGAAAATTATAATTAAATTACAAATGAGATTTTGTTTTTATTTGTAATATTTATAATAAAAATATAGTATTTAAAAATTTATTTCCGTCTTTTACTTTGATGGGTTTCTTTTTTCTGGGCATAGAAGTATTAACTCTTCTTCGAATGCATTCAGTTAATAATTTTTTAAATTTTCAGTGGCTTTCGCAACACAATGATCGCATGAACGAAGATTTCCTAAGGCCACTGATTATGTCAGAAGGTAAGCACTGAATAGAAATAACAATTTCACGTGGAATGGCTCACTGAATATTTGCTTTTTTTGCAGGCCTCGAACGCGGACCATTTTTGAAAACGATCTTATTAATCTGACATCATAATAAGCGATTAATCAAGTGGCATTAACAAAGCTCTGACCAATGGCCAACCCAGACACCTGAGCCCCGGACCGAAGACCACGATCAGCAGCTGCTCCACCCGCATAAACTGGCCTCAACTTGACTCAACCCGATCTTTGGGCAGTCAGGAGCTCAAACAAATTGAATTCTCATTGTTCGCATAATTGCCGGCCATTTGTAATCGCGAAATTCAGTGAATGTGCTCACGTTTGTGTCACAGAATCATATGAATAATTTGGGCAGAAAGTCGACTTTTGAGAATTCCCAGCATTCATCCTTGTTTTTCTGCTGGCGCAATAGATGTCAGCATTTGCGCTGAGGTGTTTGCCGGAATCACAACGCATCCCTAGTTGACATAAATAGCCTCAGATTTGAGCAGCTGCCAACTTGGACTCACGGATGCGAACGTGAATATTGCATTTCCATGGCCGAATCAGCGACATCGAGAGGACGCATCCATTCCCACAAGATTTTCTGCCAAGTTTGAGATCCTATTTGGTTTTCGGTCTGCTGAAGTTAATTAAAATGGTTCCTACTTGGCCCTCAAATAGAATTTTCAATATGATTCCCACCTAGTCTATAGAACCTAGAGAAATTTTTGTGAAAGAGTACATGCTTATGTTGTGAATCTCATATTCGATGGGGTGTGATAATGAGTTGTATGGCTGATTACAGAGATATTTTCGAGGGACAGTTTGTAATTTTTATTAAATTATCCATACTGCTTGCATGAGTCTATACGTTTGTCATATTATAGCTACGAATGTCCTCAAATTATTGTGTGATTGACAACTAATTAAAGCTCTAAACTTATTTAAATTAAATTAAAACCCACCAACACACTGTTTTAGAGATTACACGAGCAAGACCATGCTTTTTATTATAACAAGATATGTATTAAAATAATTTTATTTAATATTTAAACAACCAACTATTTCATTTTATATTAAACTTTATTATGCTTAATCAAGTGTTTTACAAAATTGTATTTATTGTTTTGATTGGAATTCTCTTCATAAGGTTTGCATTGGTAATGAAATATTATTTTATTGTTTTCTTTTTCTTATCAAGCGTAATATTAAACAACCAACATTAAAACTTCCTTTTAAAACAGTGTCACATTCATGCTACGTGAGTAACACCAGAAGATTGATGGACTGAGGAAAAACACAAATTATTTAAATTAATTTATAATTTAATCTCTCCAAGAGACGTGGCTGAATGAAGAAAAGGAGCCTTCCAAGATACCAATAAAAAGAGATACGATCAGTATCAACAGGCCGAAAATAATGATGTAAATGGCTGAAATTTAATCTACCAGTGACCTCCGCCATCTGTAAACATGTGATCTGCAACATGCGTTGATCGAGCCATCTGCCTAGGGCCAATCCGAGATGGATACCAAGTCACTTGAGACATCTCACACTTTCAAATCAAGTGAGTGCGATGGAGAAACTATCAATAATCACTTCGCTGGAATTAAGACAACACTTCAAAAAAACTGAAATAAATCATTAATTACGGAAAACAAATTGAGGCCGGTTGAGAATTGTTGGAAACAAAGCAAGATGTCAGAAATCCACTCGAGCTAATAATGAAGACAGCGAGATACGAGCGGACAAGTGCTTGGAGACCGGGTTCACACAATCCATCAATCGATCGACCATCGATCCATCACGGCGATATCGAGCGGGGCACATAAATCATGTAATGGGCGACTGGTCGATAATTAGAAGTGGAAAACAAACTCCAATTGCGTGGTTCCCTTCGCCGAATTCAATTGTGCAAAAAGACCCATTACACATCCTGGCTGGCAATCAGCCAAATGAGCTCCTAATAGAATATTAACTCCCAAAAAGCGATTCGGGCAACCGCCTAACCGAATGCAGTGGTTATGCCGGGGAAATTGGAGTCGCATTTGGACCCCGCACACTCACAGATGCAAAGATACGGATACAGATGCAGAGATACCCATGCGGAGAACCCGAACAGCAGGCAGGCAGGTAAACTGGGCCCAGAACAAACCAGTTATGGGCCCAGACCAAACGCCGAATTGAAGTCCGGTTTTGAGTCGATTTCGAAAACGATTTCGAACTGCGAAAATTCGAAGATCGCACCAATACCACTGCAGAGGGGCACCAATACAAAGAACCAGCCGCCCGAGAGCGAGAGAGCGTGCACCCACACAAGCGAAGGTTCGAGTTCGAATTCGAGTTCGATAATTGGCAACCCGGACCTGAAACCCGGACCCTCGAGCGGACCTGGGCAGTTCCTCCTTTTCTGCCGTGCGATGCGCATGCGACGTCGAAGGCACAGCACTCCACTTCACTCCATCGAAACGAAAGATACAGAAATAACGGTGGCATGGCCGCTCCACACGCGACGCACTCTACGCACACACTTGTCGCCTCGCTCGCACTTGCACTTGCCCCATGCGCATGCGCGTCGATTGGCTCCGCCCCCGAGTTTCGAAATACTTGACTGACTTTCAATATGGCCGCCGTTTTGACAGCTCCTATTGTTGCTGGTGTGCGAGTGTGAGTGTGATTGTGTGTGCGGTGTATTTGTTGTAGGGGCAACCATTTGCCGGCGATCCATGAATGTCGGTGTCCACTTGCCGCCGGCGGAATGGAAACAACAGTTTTTATTTCAAGCCAATAATCGAATCCAACTGTTTAAATTTATAAACATAAACATAATCAAAAAAGTTTTTAATATTTTTCAACATTATGCTAAGCGTCTCTTAGGATGTTAAAAACTTACAAAAACATTTTACTATTTTATTCAGATTATTACGTTTACTATATAAGCTGTTCAATATGTTTTATAGAAGTGGATTACTTACGGAACTTACCTACAAATATTAAAAATATTAGAAAACTTTTTATTGCCATTTAATATAAATTACTTGAAGTGCAAAACTTGTTACAGAGATATTGATTTATAAATTACAATGGATATTTAAATAAATTACTAGGTTTATCGAATCACAATTTTAAACAAAACTCATTAAAAGCTTAAAAGATTGTCCTGTTGTTGTTTTTTAAGTAATTTGTGTCAGGCCCTGCTCAGAACAAATTATTAATTGTTATTTTAAGTACTTTTAAATAGTTCTTTATAAATCATATTCCAATCGACCAGATAAACATCCCTGTCTTTGCAGTAATTGTTCTTAATGCGCCACACTTGCTTACGTTTTACTAACATTACTTCTTTAACAACCCCTGAGCACTGCAACTAAAAAAGTTACTTTTTTTTTTAAGCAACAAATTTTTTTCTCCCTTTTACATTTTAATTTTTAATTTTTGTTAAAAATATTAGCCAAATGTCTTAAAAGTCTTAGGTATACACATAATAAATAGTTTAACCAAGAAAATTTACTTGATAAAAAAACCATGTACCCACTTTAAATATTTTACTCCTTTATATATATATTTATCAGTTTAAATATTTCAATAAAAATTGTATATATTTCAAAATGAAAGTAGATTAACAAGTTGGTAAAACCACGCATTTCTTGTATTCATTCTCAAATAGCAAAGTAATGCAAAAATTATTTAGTTAAATAAGCTTTATATGATTCGCAAAACTTAAAACTAAAATGGCAAGGTCTTTTTCCTTATTTCATTGTTAACACCATTCATACAAATACAAATAAATCTGATTGAGCATTCGATTTAAATTAGCATTACCAACTGTTGAGTTCATAAAAAGAGGAAGGAAAGAAGCTTACCGCCCACAACAGGGTGTATTAATTTCCCTATACGTCTCAATCTTTTCGTGCGATATGGCTTGCCATTAAAATTAAGTAATTTGAAGACAAGGCAGGGAAATGTTGTCACAACATTCCAGTAATTACCCGTAATGCCGAAAGAACACAACAATCCCGACTGCGACCAGGAACGACGTCGCTAATGATCGAATCATTTCGGATAATGGCCCGAATGAAGAAGCAGGGAACTGTATCTGTAACTGTATCTGGAACTGTTGGCCATAAGAAAGGCCAGCGACAAAAAGCGGGAGAACGAGATACTCGACTCACCAGAAGTCAAACTGAAAATTGAGCTGCAGATGTAAGTAAATCAAATAAAATCACGTGTCATTTGTCTCTGCGACTCATTGAAAGATAAGATTTTCGGTAGCAAGAAGGTTCGCGTGGGTTAGAAAGAGCACCAGAATCAGATACAGATACGGAAACAGGAACTGGGAGCTGGTCAGATGCACAAAAATGAAGTGCGAACCCATTAATCAAGGCTTTACTAAATTTAATATGCGGTTAAAAGTGCTAATGACGCTGGTCGGACAATCGTTTAAGCCTCATCCCAGAGTCCCACCCCCTGCTCCCCCGCACACACTCACCCACACAAACACATAAACACACTTCGAGGAGCGGGACAGGAGCGGACTGAGCCGAACCGAACGAAATGGAACCAAACCGAACCGAACAGCCGGCGGAGAGCAGGGCAGTACATAAAGTTTAATGAGGAACCACTTAACACTTTCAGAGCTTTTTACGTTTCGCTATCATTAGAATGATTTTTGCCACTAACTACGATCCCAGATAACACTGTAAGAAATGCAGGGCGATTAGAAGTGCGAATATTTTAAATTAGAACATACCAACCTGATCCAGTGTAAAGAATAATTCAGCTCA